TTCTTGCCTGTATGATAAAGTTTATACGTCAATTTAGAGAAGCGTGACTTAATTAGTGCTGTTAAAGGCCAGCAGTTTCTAGCACTTTGTATATGCAGGTGCTTTTATAAAACTCAACTAAATATACAAATTATTTATGGTCCATAGAGATTAGTGCCAGTCCGAATGTGGACTTTTTAACATATGCATTTTGAATGTGTGACAATAAAGAAATAAGGTTGTAGTTTTTTAACTACAAAGATGGATGGAGAGTCGCCATTCACCACAGGACTGTAGGAAGTCCCAAAGACACATCTGGGCTGTCAGGCTAGGGCAGAGCTGGTGTTGCAGGATGTGAGCCTGGGGTCAGGTACTTGGTAACCGTCATTTATGGAGTCACCTGTCACAACAAACCCACACTGCTTTAAAAGTTTGCAGTCAACAGCCTCCTCTCCACATGAATTGTGTGTTCCTCTTCGTTCTTCTATGAGTGCTGTTGAGACTCATTTTGCTCATTATCTGAAACACTTTTCCTTCTTCTAAAAATGACTCAGATTTAAATATTTTGGATTCAGCTACATCTGTGGGTTTTTTTGTTTTTTTGTTTTTGGTAAGTTTGCATATAGCCCTGTCTGTGTTCAGCTCTGGTACTTTTCCTGGCCCTGCACACAGGGCTTGTCTGAGAACTGTCATGTAAGAAGAAGTGAAACACATGCGGGGGTGGGGGGGCTCCCTTATCTTGAGCCCTCCCCCACCCCGCCCCCAGGCTCGCCCTGTGGCACAGACTTTTGAACAGCTGTGCAACTGCCCTTTGATCCCGGCTCACTGTATTTCTTGACATGTTGAGCATCATGGGATGAAGCAAGTACACAGGTCAAGACCGATGCCCCTGGAGTTACGTTGGCAGTGTTTCTTAGCAGGGCTTTTACTCATGATTTGCAGAGCAGAGCCCTGCCACGGGGGCCCTGGCGAACCTCCCACCCATCCTGTGTGACAGTTCATGTAATAGCTACTCCCCCGCGCCTGTCCTTGGGAAAGGGTGGCATCCAGAGAGCCTTTTATCAGCATCCCCGACTACGCTAGCAAGGCTTCTTTATGTGTGTGGTCCTAGAACCACCTCTGTTCAGAGGCTTGTTATGTTGTTTTCCTATTATTGTTGTATGCAGTACATCACAGCGTTGTCAAAATGTCATTTGATCGTTCACCCAGCATCCCTGTGAGGTAGATACAGCAGTGAGGTACTCTATGGTGACTAGCTATGATACTAGTTAGGGATTCACGCTCCAGAGTCAGACCACCTGGGTTCACACCATGCCCCTTACCACTTTCTAGTTGTGTGACCAGAGACAAGTTTACTAAACCTCTCTAAGCCTCAGCTTCCTTATCTGGTGAGTGGGAAATAATAACCTCAAGAGGTTCTTGTGAAACAGATGCCTGAATGTTTATGAAGTATGGAGAACAGTGACTGACACAGAATCATCACAGTAAAAATGTTCACTTTTATTGTCGCGTCTCTATCAACTTCATCATCTCTACAGTCGATTTTCCAAGAGTCTGTGGTTTGCCCAAGATCACATAATGACTCCAAGAGACAATGGACTTTTTTCTTCTTAGTTTTTTTTTCCTTATTACACAGTAACATAAAAATGAATTCTTGTGAAAGATCAAAGCAATACAGAAACATATAAAGGAAGTTGTTAGGTTCCCACCTCTACTCTTTTCCTCTTTCTCCACAAGGAACCACAGAAAACTAATTGGCATGCATTCTCCCCACCTTCTCTCTGGACAGGACACACATATAAAATCAATATAAGTAAATATATATGTGTGTGTGTGTGTGTGTCTTCTTAGGCTTAAACAATAGTAACAGTGCCTGACTTATAGGACTGGTGGTCAGTGTTGGCAAAGGTGGGGCATGCCAGGAAATATACTAGTCCTCTTTCATCAGCTCCCTGAGATAAATGCTATTATTCTACCCATTTTACAAGTGTGGAAGTGAAGGTTAGAGAGAGTGTCACCTTCATAGAACCACATAGTGCTTAAACTGGATTTCAATCCAGTCAGGCTTACCCAGTATCTCCACACTTTTGACCACAACTATATGTGGCTGTATCATAGGTGTTGTTTTTCTGTTTGAGTTTTTCCTCTTACTAATATTAGTTTGAACTCTTTCCATGTAAGTATATGTAGGTTTACTTCATCCTTTTAATGGCTGCATATGAGTCAATATTTTGTTTCACCACTTTCTTATCAAGGCTTCTGTTTCCTTGTTCTTTGTTTTAAATAATCCAACACCAAATATCCTTAATACTTTTGGACACAGGTGTGAGAATTTCTGTAGAGTGGCTTTTACAAGTGGAATTGTTCATCAGGGAGTAGTGCGCACACATTAAATTTAAATAAGGATTGCTTTCCAAAAAGAATTTTGCTCACTGACAGTGTGTGAGAAGGCCTGATTCACATTAGTCTTTTTTAATTGAATTATTTATTTATTTTTGGCTACACTGGGGTTTTGTTGCTCCACGCAGACTTTCTCTAGTTGCAGCGAGTGTGGGCTACTCTCTAGCTGGGGTGCACAGGCTTTTCATCGCGGTGGCTTCCCTTGTTGCAGAGCGTGAGCTCTAGAGCACATGGGCTGCAGTGGTTGCCGCGCACAGGCTTAGTTGCCCCATAGCACGTGGAATCTTCTCAGACCAGGGCTTGAACCCGTGTCCCCTGCATTGGCAGGTGGATTCTTAGCCACTGGACCACCAGTGAGGTCCCTCACCTTAGTCTTCTTTTTATCTTTGCCAATTTTTTGAAGAAAAATACTCTTTTTCTAAACTGTGTTTCCATGATTCCTGATGGGGTTGAGCTAATTCTTTATTTTCAGGGTAATCTACATTTCCTCCAGAAGTTGCCTTTTGCCTGTATTGCCATTTAGTTTTCATTGTAGATGCTTGTTGTGTATTTTGGATAATAATCTTTTATATTTTTCTGCATTTTTGTCTTCCATGTAAACTTATAAAATTGGCTTGTCAGTTTACATGAAAGAAACTCCTGTTTGTATTTTGATTGAGAATTTGTGGCATTCATAGGCTCATTTTAGATAATTTGGCAACTTCATGATATTTATTTTTTCCTTCCATAAATACCACATGTCTCTATTTAAGCCTTCCATCAGTTAAATTCGACTGTTTTCCTTGTGTAGATCTTGCATTGGAACATTTGTTTACAAATGGGAACCTGTTTTGTCATCACCTAGACTTAATTTGTATTGCTAATGAATAGAAAAACTATTGGTTTTTACATATGTGTTAAATTCTTACCTAGCTACTCGACTGAACTCTTTTATTAGTGACCTTTGTGCTTATTTCTTGTTCTTGATCTGTCACATTGGCTAGGAAAAACAGTGAAGAAAAACATTGGTGAAAGTGTACATCTCTGCCTGCTTCCTATCTTTAATGAGAGTGTTTCTAACATTGAAGCACTAAATATGGTGGATCCATTTTATCAGCGTGCAGAAATTTCTATTGCTAGCTTACTGAGGGGGGTGCCTTTCACTGCAGACTATACCAGACTCCTGTCAAGGGGCCTTCATTGTTTCCTCTACATTTTCCTTGAGAATTCAGAGATTGTCCTCACTGCCTGGGACCTCCCAGTTTTGATCTCCCAGCATTAATCTCCCAGCTGACTCAACAGTGGTTAGCACTGAGTAATATTTGCTCTCTTCTTCCCTTCGCTCACATTGGACCCTGGCTGGCCTAAGGCAAGGAGCCACTTTGTGTTAATATATCCTATACCCCTCCCCCCCGGATAAATAAATAATGTTGTATGGATAAGAACAAAATTCCACTTCTGGAATTTTCCGGCAGGCACCACTGGAAAGATTTCATTCCTGGCTTCTAGTTTTAAATAACTTCAACTTTGTTCCCCCACTGGGTTATCTTGAGTCGCTGACCACCATTTCACACTCCAGTGACCAGGTGGTTTCATAGTTTGTACAGGAGGGTGTGAGAAGGGAATCACCACCTGACCTCTGACTTCCTGTGGAGATTTCACGCGGCACAGGGTGAAGCCATTTCTAACTCTAGGTTCTCAGCACTGCCTTGCACACAGTTAATGCAAAAGAAGTGTTTTCCCGGTTGACTGATGACATGATTTAATTGCAGAGTACATTTGATAATTTTTAGGTGGTGAGACTTTTTGCTAAAACTATGAACGAAAGGATTTCATTTTGTCAGGCATGTATTTGGAGCATGACTCTAATGTGACTTGGCACCTGTCTAGAGAATTGTCCCTGCGTCCAGTGACATTTCGCTTTGGGGAAGTCAACACCTGCTATGATGGCATCTGTCATATTTAAGAAAGTGACATGTCCATGAATAATGCAGAGCTGCCTCACTAAAATGCCTTCTTCAGAGAACAATTAAAATGAGACATTGGCAGAAGGTTATTATAAGCAGCAGAGAAGCAGGTTTGGGCTCTTTCCGAAATTAAAAAGCAGTGGATGATATCTTTTACTATGGTTTTCTCATCTTGATGTAAGCAGGGTAGATTATATTATTTTCATACTGTTTAGCTAGAAAAGTAAGGACCTGCTAAATAGGATCCTTTCTTTCTATCGCTTTAGTACAAACCAACATTGGCCTCCAACATCAATTTGGATGTTAATGTTTCTGAAGTGAACTTTTTGGGGAGATGGAGTGGACTCATGTCAGACATGTGGTGTGTAATTGGCAACTATCCAGGAGAGCCTAAGCCAAGATACAACTGGATGCCAGAAACCCCAAGAGGCAAGGCAGCCCCACGTGGCAGACACGAGCACTGATCTTTGAGCCCCTCATGGGGCCAATGCCATCAGCTTTAGCTTCTAGGGCTATTGAATGAGAAGTTTAGTTCTCATACTAAACTTGTTCAGTCGGACAAGTATCTTTCCTGCCTTAGCTTTTTTCTCTTTCCCTCAAATTGCCGTGTCCACAGAAGAGGCTGGGAACAGTGCCCAGCAATAGACTGAACATTTCCTACCTCTTCTCTTGCAGGCGGGTGACAAGCATTACCACCCGAGTTGTGCACGATGCAGCAGATGCAACCAGATGTTCACAGAAGGAGAGGAAATGTATCTTCAAGGTAAGGTGGTCTGGAGAATGCAATAACCTCTCCCCACTCGGGGAGAGAAAACCATGCTATGTTTGTTTGTTTTTAAGAGAAGGAGGCATTTCATAAGCTGCAAGGCTACCCAGATCCCAAATGAATGTAGCCAAATGTGACCTCATCAGTTAGTAGTAATCAGCCAAGCAACTGACATGCTGGCAGTGAGCCCCTGAGGCTGTTAACAAACAAGTGGATTGCTTATGGATGAATGGATTGAGCTTGATGTTTGATGCCATGGAGATAAGGCAAGAGGAAAGTTCAGCTAGGCCTCCCACCCAACCCCCAGGAATATGCTTGGGAAACAAAAGATCAAAAGAGGAAATGAATGTCTAGAAATGTTACATACTGGATGGTTGTAATACTTGGTTTTTTCTCACTTCACTATCCTGGGAGAAGGATTTTGGGGGGCCTCCCAGTATGCTCTGATCCAGGCTTAGGAAGAAGAAAATCTCGTATTTGGTGAATTACATCACAGATGTACTTCATCCCATGAAGATGAGATAGCTGTCATAGTGAAAGAGAGAAGGACAGAGAGAGAGAGAGAACACACCCAAAGTTCCTGACAGGAAATTGAGAAGTTTCTGGTGCCAAGGAAGTGCTCATTACCAGAGGGCCGTTCAATTTTTTTTTAATGAAAATAATTTTGAGAAATTTTCCCAGAGTCCAGCTTTGATTAGCTTTTATCTCCTCTAAAATTCTGAAGCTTTTCAGAGAGTTTTAGGGAAGGAGTCTCCTCCAGTCAAACAGTACCATCTGTGTGAGCATTTTACTATTTTTAGCAGGAAAGAGTCATTAAATAGACAAGGGCTGATCAGCAAAATTAGCAAGAATATAAGAGCTATTGCTTGTTCAGTTTGCTAATTAATGGTTCTCATCGGCCTTTGCATGTCATTTCTTCATCTCTGCACGTAACACTATGTGTAGTTTTAATGAATGGTTTGCTTTGCTCTTGATTTTTGTTTTTATGAAACTAAGAAAAGTCTCCAGAAAATGATTCTTGAATATTAGATCAAAGCTTTGGCTACTCTCCCCTTAAATAACACTAGCTGTATGAGAAATTGACAACCCAGACATCCTTTTTAGCTTTAGAATGATTTCTCTGAAAAAATTACAGTGGAAAATCTCACCGAGCTTTAAAGGGCCTAATGAAGGCAAGTGACAAGCCCCAAATCTGTGGCCTCATATGGGCTTTATATGACACGTTTTCCCCCAGGATAAACTGTGAATCCTTGGGAGCAATAGACAGGTGTCACTTTACATGTTCAGCATGGAGCAGATTTATTCTTCAGTTGGTCTCCAGGCTGTGTTTTAGATCCAAATGTGTCGGTTACACCACTCACCATCAAAGACCCAAGAGTGTACGTCACCCCAAGAGTGTCTGCTGAGAACTGAGACTCAGGGCTCTGGGTGTACCTCTGTATGTTCACATAGTTCTGCAAGCGAGTAAAGAGGGTGATTTCAGGCTGTACATGAGTACAGCACATTCATGCTACAGATAAACAACCCTGGTAATCTGAGCTACATTCCAAATTTGAGCATCGTTGTAAATCTCTCCTGGAGTTGGGCTTTGGTGTTCTTTGTGCTCTCGACACATCCTTGAACAATGAGCAGTTTCATCTTCCCCAGCATCTCATGTTCTGTGTGGCTCACATTCCCTGTGTGTCTGACCTCTGGAGGACAGTTCGATGCCTTGTACACCCCTAGTGTTCTGGGCCAGGATGTCCATTCAGTAGAACCTCTACAGGGCACCCTGCTCCTGTTTCCAGCCCTGTTGCCCACCCTCCCTCCCCCCGGCTCTCCACATTAAGAGGATTTCTGTGCTTCGAAGCCAGCCTCAGAGTAAAAGCCAGTGCTAAGTGAACTATGTGTCTGTCTGACTTTGGTTTGATTTTTTTGGCCCTGGGTTAAGCGAGATAGAAATGACTGCTAAATAGGGATGAAAGTATTATTCTGATATAAAATGTATTTACACTGTCATCAATTTAATAGTATTTTTATCTCAGTGGTGTACAATAATTCAAGAGTTATTTGATAGCTTTTCAGTAGAGAAAGAGTTCAACCGTGAAACGTAAAACATAAAATATTTCTTATTAGGTTTATATCACTGACACTGTCCTGTGCAGACAACCTCATGACAAATCTTAACAATTTAAATATAGTCATTTTAAGCCTGAGAGCTGCATTATTTTCATCCTAACTCAGGATAGAGTTCAGTGACCAGAACCTAGAAGAATGTGCCAAATGAGCATCAATCCGGTGAATTTTTGGCTATCATTTTGAAAGTGGAATAAATTTACAAATTTAGGCAAAAAAATTGCTTTCAACTTAGTAACTATTTGCTTAAGTCTTTTTAAGTCCCTCTTCAAATTCTTCCACCATGCCCACATTTGAACACATTCTTGCATGAACATAGAACTTACATATAGACCTTGGCCATGAATTATATACATTGTATACCTAGGCAAAAAAAAAAAAAAAAAATCACATAGGCAGGCACTGAATTCTTATAAGAAAAGAGCTTTCTATTGGATATAAGTGTTTTGCTTAGTTCTGTGATACTGGTACCATCCAAGAAAGCACCTTAAATTCCTATAAAGTGAGGCATTGACCCAGGACCAGAAAACAACACTTTAGTAGTAACTTCACTAGTTTAAAAGTGAAGATCTTTTAAAGTTAACTAAAAGGTTAAAAGTTAAAGGAAAACTTGTGGATTTGTAATGTAAGTTTCAAACTTTCTGCTAGATGGATCGATTTCCTGTGTCTGTGTAGGTAACAGTATAATTGAAGCAACAAAAAAAATTTTGGTGAGTTTTTCTTCTGGATATAGGTGACCTGGTTTGACTTTATTGCCCTCATCTAAATTGTTTGGTTGTTTTGATGTTATGTAAACATGGCTTATGGCTTATATTTCTGAAATTAAAAGTAGATATTGGTAAGTACACAGACATTACTTTTAAAGGATAATGGAAGTGAAAAGTGAATGAAACTTAGTTGCTCAGTCATGTCTGACTCTTTGCGATCCCATGGACTGTAGCCTGCCAGGCTCCTCTGCCCCTGGAATTCTCCAGGCAAGTATACTGGAGTGGGTAGCCTGACCTTTTCCAGGGGATCTTCCCAACCTGGGGATTGAACCCCAGTCTCCCACATTGCAGGCAGATTCTTTACCATCTGAGCCACCAGGAAAGTCCCCAAGGGGATAATGATAGCATTTGAAAAAAAAAAAATACCATGACCCAGTTGAGAACTAAATGTCCCTTTCATCAAAACACTTTTGTGCCAAATGAGTGGCCTTTGTGGTCTAGGATTATGACTGTTACAGAACAAGCTCAGATTAGGTGCAGAAAACTCACCTGGAATTTGAGCTATCGTGATTCACTTGGGCACAGGGCCTCTCTCAGAAGTTCTGTATAATAGGACTGTGGCTGCTTTCCATTTCCTTTATTCTCAGATGTGTATTGTCTTTCCAGGTTCTACCGTTTGGCATCCCGACTGTAAGCAATCAACCAAGACTGAGGAAAAGCTGCGGGTAAGGAAAGTTTTGGCACTGTGATGCCAGGTGTACTTGCTGTCCATTGTGCTTATGCTCACTGATTCTTGGGACTGCAGTTTGGGTGAAATTGCTTCTTATGACTTTTTTTCCCCCTTCGATCACAGACCAAGTAGAAAGGCCATTTGGGCCAGAAAAAGGTTTCCTCCTACCTTCCGTTGATAGTGATTCTTGTTTCAAATGCTTGTGTTAGACAAAATAAGCCTTGCTTCATGAATCAGTTTCTTAGGAAGGCATTCAAGGGGAAAAGTCAAGTTCTAGGTCCAACATCTGGTGACCTCCTCACCAGACTGTTTTTGTACTTCATCCATCACATCCCTAAATCCAAATTCTGTGGCCATTGCTCAGCTCTTGCTGCATTTGATTGGCCTCTTAAATCCAAGTTCCCCAAGTAGCCTCCATCTCCCAAAGCTGATGATTTGTTAGATAAAAACTTGTGGGGAAAACCATGATGAGCTCAGACGAGTCAATGGGAACAAGTGTTCTTGATTGTTTTTGTAACTGAAACCTTAGGTGGCATCAAAATATTTTCAAAACTCCCTGGAACATGGATCACTCAGAGGATAGACTCTTATCTCTCACCTGTTTTTCCTTTCTTTCCTTTGGTTTAAGTCATCTTACTCTGATCTCAGATCACCACCAAGAGACGATATTCTACCTGTTTCAGAAGCAAAGAGCTGTACACAGTTGCAAGGCCATGATCATAACCTGTTTCTTACTCAGATGCCTCCAGTTTTTCACTTGGGCCGTGAAGTATTTTTCAGAGCAGTAGTCAGACTAGACCCCAGTCCACGTCCCTCCATTTAACTACCTTAGTGGTCACCTTCGACACAGCTGGGCTACACCACCTGGTGTTTCAGGGAAAAGAAAGGCCGAGATTTATTTTGGAAGCCATGCTATAGGTGAGATGGTTAGGTAGCATGACCAACTCAATGGACATGAGTTTGAGCAAACTGCGGGAGATAGTGAAAGACAGGGAAGCCTGGCATGCTGCAGTTCATGGGGTCGCAAAGAGTCGGACACGACTTAGCAACTGAACAACAACGTTCTAGAATGTGGAATCATTTCTTCTTGATCTGCCGTTAGCAGGCACAAGAAGCTACATATGTGATCCCCAGCAGTCACACAGCTGCTCCATCAATGTGGCCTGATCACTAACGTGTCATTTGTGAAGGAGTGACTTGGCTTCAGAGAAATGATTATCAGGAACCACCCCCCCCGCCTCTTTTTTTTGGCCTGCCATCCCTGGGAATGACAGCTCTTATTTTCATTTTTCAATATCTTTTCTTTATTCTCAGTGAAGCTCTTGTCTGCCTAGAAGTTCTATTTCCTTTGCTTTTTTTTTTTTTCAACTGGCATCTGTAAGATCAGATGGAGATATTTTGTCATTTGCATACTTTAGAAACTTGTCCCTTGCTTGTGACTCTGAATAAAAATGGATGTCTTAAAATTGAGTTAATATGAGCAGACTTTAAGTAGAAGGGGAAAAATCACTTTTTTCTCAAAATGATGGAGTAAAGACCAGACAAACTGGAGAGGAACTTGTTCACCAATATTAGGATGATTTGATCCCTGTTTCGACATAGAACTTCAGCTTCAGCATGTGTACCTAACCCTCTCATCTGTCAGTCAGACAGGTGCACACTGGAAGTTGCCAAACTCTGGGATTTTTGATGACTCATGGGTGCTTTGAAGTGGGTTATCGTTATAAAATACTGGCACCTTAAAGATAGTACTTCTTGTCACTTTAATCATAAGAATGTAAAATTCACTGTATAACTTGCAGATGCCATCCCCAAACCACCCAAGTAGCTAGTGGTCTGCACTATCTTGACAGTCTTGCCCTCAGTTGTTGAATAATCATTTTTATTTCATCCCTGATGAAGTCTTCTGGGAGACAAAGAGAGGAATGCTAACCCAGACTGAATGAAATGTGTCCTTTCTCAGTAAAGATTGCTTGAGTTTGCAGATTGTGTTACTAAAATGATTTTTAAAAAAATAAAACAACCCTCTCGATCGCATCTTGATGGAACTCTTTGGATAAGATTATGAAAACAACTAGTGAGATACTTGCACTCATTCTGGCCAAGAGGGGCTGTAGTTTTTTTCTTTCTTTAGTGAAACTTTCTTCTCCTAAAGCCAGCGTTTACCACTTGGGAGGTCAGGCCGGCCCCCAGCTCACTCACCCAGTAGTATGGATGATGTACCTCTAAGGAGACGAGGTTCTGACACACCCCAAGTGGGGTACATGTTGACGCTGGTGGGTTTTAAAAGAGGCTAGATTTTGAGGACGGAGCGACTCTTGTGCTCTCTTAAGGGTGTGTCTATGGAGGACAGCTTTGAGCCAGTATTTTCAGGCCTTTTTCCCAGTGTCACATCAGTGCAGTTACCATAGCAAAATGAAAATGTTTTAAGGATCTTTCAACAACCCCACTGAGTAATCCACATTCTCCAGATTTCAAGAACTTGTGGGGTGTTTGTAATAACAGAGTCTCAAGAACATCTGTCAGTGGCTTCATTGGCTTCTAACTTCATATGTAAGAATATTTCAGCCAAAATAAATGGAAAGGAATGATGGGGAGGGGGGAAGGTTGGAACATAGGTAAATATACTGTAATGTGAAGACCAGTTAGGGAATTCCCTGGAAGTCCCGTTGTTAGGACTCGGCACTTTCACTGCCGAAAGCACGGATTCAATCGCTGATTAGATTCAGTTGCTGACTGGAGAACTAAGATCCTGTAAGCCACGTGGCATGGCCAAAAAGAAAGCAAATGAAGACCAGTTACTATGCTTTCAACATGGACCTTAAAAATACACACCCCCCCATCCCCGACTAAAGTAATTCCACATTGTTGTTGTTTAGTTGCTCAGTTGTGTCCAACTCTTTGCGACCCCATGCACTGTAGCCCACCAGGCTCCTCTGTCCGTGGGGTTTCCCAGGCAAGAATACTGCAGTGGGTTGCCATATCCTCCTCCAGGGGACCTTCCCAACCCAGTCTCCTGCATTGGCAGGCGGGTTCTTTACCACTCAGCCACCAGGGAAAACCTGATGTCACTTACCACTTATCAAATTAGTTTTCCTAAAGGTATTTTTTTGGATAGTGTTTCTGAATCAAGGCTGTTTCTTTCTTCACTCTTCCCTTTTTCATGTTTCATGGCAGCCACCAAATGCCCGTCGATCTCCGTCTGATTTCTTTTATCCCAAAAGTCTGATTCGACGCATAGGACGGTCCCCGTGTCTGCAGGTTGGCACTGTGTCTGAGCTGAGGCTCGGGGCCACTGTGCTGGGCCCAAGGCTTCTGTCGCTTTCCCTCCCCTCGCTGCTTTCCCCACATAACTTCTGGGCTCCCATAGACGCAGATGCTTTTTCTCACCCCACGGAGTGCATCTCACATTCTGATTCCGGCTGTTTCCTGCTCTAGGCAATGTTTTCATTTAGCGTGGTGGCTGAAGCATTGTCTTCAGGACAACGAGCACATTGGAAACCACTGTTTCGGTCCTGTGCTCACACATTTGTTCGCTGAACAAATATTTGCCAAGTACCCAGGTACAGTAAGGAAGAAAAGACAGGTACATAATTATTAAAAAATATTGAAACATACCATAGCATATGGATCGTAAAGATCAAGGCAGGTCAGGTGAGGGGAAGGGGCTCAAGGGGTGCTTCCTGGGGGAAGTGGTCTTTAAGTTGAGTTTTGGAGGCTGGATGGGATTTGAGCCCATAGAGATGATGAGAAAGGGGTGGGCCTGACAAAAAGAGCAACAGAAGCGTGGAGCTGGGGAAACGCAGTATTTGGGGAAGGAGAGGTTTGGCTCGAGGAAGGAGTGACGAAGTGGAAAAGAAAACAAATAAGACTAGCTACAGCTCTGCAGAGGCAAGGAACTGACATTTACTCTCAATGGCTGTCCTTGGAATCCCTGCCAAGTAGCCGTCCTGATTTCCATCTTACAGATGGAAAGACTGAGACCATCATAGTGAACTAACTTCCCCAGAGTTCTCCCAGCGGTAAGTGGAAGAGCTGAGATTGGAGCTCGGGTCTCTCTGAGCCCGTAAGCCATGTTCTTTCCACTGTCCTACAAGGGGAGAGTGAGAGAGAGACCTGGGAAGACACAAAGAGGAGAGCATGAAATACTGGCCAAGTCTGATGGTGTCTAAGGAAGAGACAGGGTGTAAGGGCGGCACCGTCTTTCCAGAGCATCCTCTGGAGCCTGGGAGAGTCCTCAGCCAGCTCTCCAGATGAGCAGCGAAGCAGGAGACTGTGTTCCCTGCACACGCTTGACCTTCTTTTGGGGTTTCTTAGAATCAGTTGAAACCTTGGCCCATTAAGTTATGAGTGACTTTCCACGGTGCCAGCTCTGTCCAGATGAAACCCATTGTGTAGCTGTGTTGACACTTAGGGTTGCAACACAGCTCTTTAGTCTGGGCTTGATGCCTGTGCCTGTTTTCTCTGTCTACCAGAAATGGCCCAGGAGAGTCTGGGTTTGGGTCTGCTTTCATTAAAGCTGCACCTTCTTTCTTTAAATGATTTGAAAGATAGTTAGCAGTACAGAGTTTCAGAGGGGAAAGAAACCTTTTAGACATCAACCCCTGGTTTCTCCACCTACAGAGTGAAGTCAGTCCAAGGTGTTGCAGGTCAAAAGGAGCAACACTTAACTGTAGATTCCAGGCCCCGAGTGTATTGCATTGGCCCGTGATGCCGGGTTACATTCAGCTTATATTTGTCATATAATATTCATCTATCTTAAACCTTTGGCTCCAGCAGCAGAGTTTCACATACAGTTAACATACAGTGTCATGAATCCAGAGGAACGGCCAGAAATTATTCCCATTGCAAGTGAGCACTTAGAATTAGTACCTACTTGGCAAGAAATTGCTTTTTCAATAGCTTTTGGTTTTTTCCCCGAAAGTATGCTTTATAACTTAAATAGTGTTTTATTTTGTTAGCCTGAGGCTATTGCCAAGTGATTCACTTTCTTGA